TTTCCCCGAGAACAGGGGCATTGCCCTGCGGAACCCCTGCGGCTCGTGTGCGGCGACGGAACAGGTCGCCGCTGGTCTCGTCTGCGGGCTGTGTGTTCACGACAGCGGTTGTCCTGACGTGGTCTGGGGCCACCTGTGTCATCCAGGCGTCACGAGCCCTCCCGTGCTACATCCCCCAGGATGCTCTCTCACGCGCCCACGACTCAGAGCGGCACCGGAGGCGCACGGATTCTCCTGGAAGGGACTGGCCCAGAGACCGTGCGCTGGTACTCGGCCCTGTCCCCCTGGGACAAGGAAATGCTGCCTTCCTGTTTGTCCCAGAGGTCCCTTTCAGCTCTGTAGCAAGTTCCGGGCACACAGTCGGCACTTACTGTGGTCCAAGTGTGTCTGCCGCATGCCCGCGTGGACACGGTTGCACGTGAAGGCTGGGCTGCGCAGAGGCGGCCCCAGTCACGTGCAGAGCTGGGGGCTCCCGACTGTCTGTGCCGGCGCGTCTCAAAGCCCAGCTGCACGGTAACAGTCACCTACTTTCCCGGGGCTGTTCTGGTCATGCTGCGGAGCCCTGTGCAGCCGGGGACTTACTCTCAGATACTCTCGAGATCCTCCCCTCTTGTGCCAGGAATACGCAAAAGTCCTGGGGTTTGGGTGTCAGACGCCTGCAGCAGTCACATCTGGGCAGGCTGAGATGCCCTGTGCTGCCCTTGTGGTCCCTTCAGGGACTCACTGTTAGCCTTGCTGGGGCTCTGGGACTCCGGGCAGTGCCCGAAGGCCTTCGTCCCTCTCTCTCCCCCTCCCCTCCCCTCTGGAAATAAGCACCCCTCCCCAAGACTTCATGATTTTGCAAGGGACAAGAGCGAGGAGACTTTAGCAGCTTTCTACGCAGGCAGCACCGGGGCGGGGGTGCTTACCCTCCCAGCCAGCAGCTCTCCCTTCAAGGAGGAGGGCCACAGGAGAGGAGCCCACGAAAACCGCATTTCAGTGAGCTCCCCTGCCTTCAGGAGGGGTCTTGGGGGGTCGGGCTGGTGGGGAGGGAAGTGGGTAGATTTTCACGTGGGGCAGGCAGGCGGCTGGGCACTGCCTCGCAGTGTGAGATGCAGGAGCCGCCTCCCCACACTTCATTCCAACATTGCCCTCTCCTCCCTACCCCACAGAAGGGAGCCTGTCACCCTAAACCGCCCACAAGCCTCCAGTAAGCCAACCCAGGCCCCGCCCGCCCATGTAAGTGGAACTTCAGAGTGGCCGAGCTCTGCCATGAAAAAATCATGAGGCAGCCCAGCCCCGGGCCTGTTTTCAGGAACAATGCAGCAGGCTGGGCTCTGGGCACTGGCCAAGCTGGACCCCAGGAGCAGAAGCTGGGCCTGGGAACAAGGAAATCACGGCCTTTGGTCTGGGCCGAGCAGGAAAGCCCTGGCCTCACCCCAGGGAGGGGCAGAGGAGCCCTGGGGGCAGAGGCCCAGAAGGGCACTGGTCAGAGTGGTCTGGCCATGGGACGGCACAGTGCCTGGGACCCAGTGGGACAGGAAGGCGGGTGAGAGCCGCAGCGCCCCAGTGGCTGAGGGGGAGGCCCAGGAAGGTGGGGGTGGAGCGCTGGGGATTTCCTCTGTGTGAATTCCCAGAGACTCACTGGCCGGTGGGGAAGGAAGGGCACAGCTGGCATTGCCCACACGGGGCGCCAGGACAGGTGCGGCCTGGGGACATCCCTCCGTCCTCGGCCATTTCCCAGTTTCCAGGGCTCCAGGCCAGCCCAAGTGGGGAACCAGCCCCTCCCCAGCCAGCACCCACATGGGGCCCATGCCAGCTCACGCCACCAGCGTGTTCCCCGGGCGTCCGGCCTGGTACACGTGCCTGTCACCATAGCAGCACACGGCGTGTTGGGTGGGAGCCTGGGCTGGGCGGTAGCAGCCAAGGCTGGCGGTCTAGATCTACGGGACCAGGACTCTTTCCCTTGCCGCAGCCCCCTCTGGGGCCTGCCCATCCCCCAGCGTGCCAGGGAAGGAGCGGTTCCCTGAGAAATCCCGGGTAGGAGCCAGGGGCTGGGGGCCTCAGCTGGACCTCACTGCGGGGGCAGGAGGCCAGGGACCTGGCCCACCCTTGCACGTTGGGAGCGTCAGAGAGCCGGAGGGATCTCTGCCTTCTAGGTCCTGCTCCAGACAGCAAGGTTGGTCTGGCTGTGTTGTGTCCCTCTGGACCTGGCCACTCCCTGAAGTGGGGGTGCAGGGGAGCCACTCACCCAGGCGGCCTCTCTGTGCCTGGGAGAGCAAGTCATGCATGTTGAAGTAGACACGTCAGGCACCCTGACCCCTGTCCTCAGGCCCTGTCCAGGGGTGGCAGACAACAGCCCAAGGCAATGCACACTCACCGGACATACGCCCCATCCCCCATGAGGGCAGGTTCAGAGGTGACCTCGGATGCCTCCGAGGGGATTCTGGACAGGCCGCAGGCATTGTGTGCCCAACGTGGGTGGCTGTGTGGACCCCTCTGGCAGGGGCACGTGTGTCCTTGAGGACACGGCCGAGGACACAGCAACCATAGGCTCTTACAGGTAGTCCCTGACCCGGATTCCCTTGTGCTGTGCACAACATGATCTCCCTGCTGGGCAGCGGTGGATGGACTCTAAGGCTGGGATCCAGGGAAGCATCTCCAGGGCCAGGGCTGGCCCAGCCACTGACCGTGGCTCCCTCCCACACCGTCTGTGTGCACCTTTGCACGCACGCCCCCCGGCATGCACACTGCCTCACCTCCCTGCAGAGGCTCATTGCATCACACCGAACGTTCCCAGTACCTACTGTGCGCTGGAGCCTTATAGGGGATCGAGAGAGGAGCCGTGACTCCTAGCAGGCATCTGGGCTTGGGGCTTGGGTCCTGGGGGGTTGTGGAGGGCCATCCATGCAAACCACCTGAAGCCTGGGCTGGGAGGCCCACCTCTAAGCGTCCCCTTTGGGGACTTAGGTCCCCCCTTAGCTCACACCGTGAGTCAGTGCCAGGCAGCCCCACGCCACGCCCACCTGGGGCTGCGGGGCCCCAGGGACCGAGAGGCCACAGCCACTTCTGGCTCTGCCACCAAGTGGCTGCCTGGAGCCCACTTAGTGCCTGGCAGCTGGGCTTCCTCCCACTGGGCACGTGACGTCCATGAGCACCCTGCCAGCGCCAGTCAACGTCAATGAGGCCTTCGTGCCGATCGGGCACTCCGGGCTCCTTTGGAGCCTAGCTACAAGCTGGGGGGACCATGGGCACAGCTGCCCCCAGGCCCCCTGAGCCCTGACGAACTGACCAATACCATTGAACACCTGCTCTGTGGGTGTCCCTACAAGCCTGGGGGTGGCACAGAGGGAGATGCAGCGAGAAACAGGTGTGGACAGCCTCATGGCGTGCACCCCCAGACCAGGGACATCTGCCTGGCATCGAGGCAAGGCCTGGGCCCTGGGCACGCTCCGTGGGGAGGGGGTGCTCCCTGGACCGTCTCTCCCCGCCGGCGAGCACCTGGCACGCAGTACAGCCAGGCCCACGGTTGGTGCCCCATCAGTGAGTGGGGGTTGCAGAGGTGGACAGTGCTAGACCAGCCCCCAGACCATCTCGCAGCACGCACAGCGCTGCTGGGGGCACGGGGACCCAGGCGTGTCTCCCAGCGTCCCACCCTGGTCCTCAGTGCCGCCAGGCACTGAAGCTGCTGCCCGGGCTTGAGAGGATGCAGGAAGGACGCCTGAGCCCATCTGGCCTGCCCGCCCCCCAGCCCCCACCCTCGGCTGGACCCTCACAGCACTGGGCCCCATCATGGCCCCCAGTGGGTCAGAGCGGTGAGCCTGTGGCATCAAGGCCCCACAAGGCTGTGGCTGGAAATGCCTGTGGCCCCAGGCCCGTTCCCCCAGGGAGGCCTGAGGGTCACACACTGCGATGAGGAAGAGGACACCGAGGCTGGCCCGGGCCCAGGTCGGGCAGCTCTAGTTTCACTACTTGGCTCCCCGCCCCTGAGGCAGGTGCAGGAGACAGACAGGCAGGGTGCGGCTGGGCTGGCCCCTGCGGGTCCCCGTGGATGTGGCCCCCTGGGCTCAGGGAGGAGGGAGCACAGCCAGGTGGTCCTGGTGGCTGCGGCTGGAGGTGCTGGGTCGGTGGGAGTGGGATGGGCTAGGGGGCAGCTTCTAGCCTTTCCTAGCCTGCTGGCCACACCGCTTCTGCTGACAGGGCTTTGTCCCCCCACACGCACCTGGGACCAGGCCCCATAAAGACGCCGCAAGCCAGGCGAGTTACCCCAGCCACAGGAGAAACAGTTAGGGGTCTCCAGGCCCCCGCAGCAAGGCTGGCTTCACCACAGCTCACGCAGGGAAAGGGGAGCAGCCTCGTGGGCTCCTTGAGGTGCTTAAGGCACAGGGATCAGCCGAGGCCTGGTCCTCTGACCCTGGGTCCGACCGCCCGCCGGCTTCAGGACGGCCCCTGCTCCGTGCTCACACTCCGCGGACCGGGGCCCCCTCCCGGCCCCGCACAGCCAGGCCGCCTGGCCCGACGTGAGCAAGCGTGACCCTGGCTGGGGCCTGGATGCCAGGATGGGGGCACCAGGGCACACATGGCCACTCCCTGGCCCCACGTCCCCTGGGTGCCACCTTCCCCACCCTGGCCACCCTGGGGCAGGTGCAGGTCCTGGGCTGCCGGCTGCAGCCCGGGGATGGCTGAGGGGGACGGCATGGGATTCCAGCTCCAGGCTGCCGGAGTTGGGGGGCCTTGCTGGGCTCCTGGCACCAGGAATCAGAGAAGCAGTAACTGGATCTGGCGGGGGATCTGACGGCCGCTGGGGCGGAGGGCTGCGATCGGGTTGCGGCCTCGCTGAGTTTTCCACCAGGCAGCTTTCTCGACATCGGGAAGGAGCTGGGCTGGTGAGTCCGTGCACTGGGTCTGGCAGCCCTGGCGTGGGGCACAACGAGGAGAAAGCCCGAGCGGCGCAGGGGCCGGGAGGCGGGGCACAGGGCCGGGTGGCCCCAGTGAGGACAGGGAGGTGGTCAGCCCTCGGCGGGCGGAGCTCTCCACCCCTGCCGGCCCTGGGGCTCCGGCCGCTGGAGCAGTCCGCGAGTGGCTGAAATCCAAGCTGGGGTAACAAAAGGCAGCCGCCGTCCCTAAGCCGTCGCAGCTCTGATCCGTCCCCCGCCCGCCCTCTGCCACCCGCGGGCCCGCAGCCACTGGCCAGAGGGCGGCGGGTCCATGCCGCCGGCCAGGCCACGGGGGGACCTCGGGGGCTGTGAGCACGCGGAGAGCGCCTCGCAGGCCCCTCGCGGGGCGCTGGGCCGGCCCTCGAGATGCCCACCAACGGCCTGCACCAGGAGCTGAAGGTCCAGTTCGGCCTCGTCAACGACACCGGCCGCTACCTGACAGCCGAGAACTTCGGCTTCAAGGTCAATGCCTCGGCCCCCAGCCTGAAGAGGAAGCAGACGTGGGTGCTAGAGCCCGACCCGGGGCAGGGCTGCGCCGTGCTCTTCCGTAGCAGCCACCTGGGCCGCTACCTGTCCGCCGAGGAGGACGGGCGCGTGGCCTGTGAGGCCGAGCGGCCGGGCCGCGACTGCCGCTTCCTGGTGCTTCCGCAGCCCGATGGGCGCTGGGCGCTGCGGTCGGAGCCGCACGGCCGCTTCTTTGGCGGCACCGAGGACCAGCTGTCCTGCTTCGCCACAGCCATCTCCGCGGCCGAGCTCTGGACCGTGCACCTGGCCATCCACCCGCAGGCGCACCTGCTGAGTGTCAGCCGCCGGCGCTACGTGCACCTGTGCGCGCAGGAGGACGAGATGGCGGCGGACAGCGACCGGCCCTGGGGCGTGGACGCGCTCATCACGCTCATCTTCCGGAGTCGGCAGTACTGCCTGCGGTCCTGCGACAGCCGCTACCTGCGCAGCGACGGCCGCCTGGTGTGGGAGCCCGAGCCGCAGGCCCGCTACACGCTTGAGTTCAAGGCCGGCAAGCTGGCCTTCAAGGACGCCGACGGCCACTACCTGGCGCCCGTGGGGCCGGCCGGCACGCTCAGGGCGGGCCGCAACACGCGGCCGGGCAAGGACGAGCTCTTCGACCTGGAGGAGAGTCACCCGCAGGTGGTGCTGGTGGCCGCCAACCACCGCTACGTGTCCGTGCGGCAAGGTAACGCGGGCACGGCGGCCGGCCACGCGGACCGAGCTGGGCAGTGGCATCATGTCCGCACGGGTGGTGGCCAGCGGGGGGCAGCACAAGGGGCAGGGCGGGGGATGGGTCTGGGGTCACGCGTGGGGGTAGCAGCCGAGGACCGCTGGCTTTAGCGTCAGGAGGACGGGATCCTTCTCAGGACCCCTGAGCCCAGGCCGTGCTGGACACAGGACGGCGGAGCCCCGGACCACTGCCGCGGGGTTGCGGAGGGCAGGTCTGGCCCGTGCTGGGCTGGCCCTCCACCCCCTACCCTCCCCTTCTCTTCTCCTGCTTCATTTTCTGAACTTCACAGGAAGTTGGGGAAGGGGCCGCACACAGGCTAAGGAGCCAGCAGGAGTGCAGTGGGCAGGGCCCTGGTGCCACACCACCCGTGCCTGACCAGTGGGGATCCTCACCCAACCCCGGGGGTGGAGTGTGGAAGTCCCTCCGGTCTGGTGGCCTCCCCCGGGGCCCGGGCTTCCTGGTGGCAGGCTCGGTCTCTGCCAGCTGGGTGCCACTGGCTGCTCGTCTGTCCTGGCTCATTGGCTCCCTGCCTCGCGTGGCCAGCGGGCCTTTCCGCACACCATCACATGCCCGTGAGCACAGGCAATTCTACTTCCCCGAGAGGAAACCAGGCCCAGGCCAGCAGTTCGCAGCTGTTCCCTGCGTGGGCCCCTGGGTCTGTGCCCCCAGGAGTGGCCAGGCATGCCCTTACCAGCCCCATTGCCACCTGCTAGTCCTGTTGGCCGAGGCCCAGCCACGAGCACTCAGGAGGGCCCCCCTGCCTGGAGCCAGGGTTCCCAAGGCCAGTCCTGCACCACAAAGGGAAGTCCACAAACACCTCCCCAACGCCTGTCTGGAACGTGGCCAGGTCCCAGGGCACGACGGACCGTCCACCCTGTCCTTCCCAGCACAGGCCCTGCGGTCTGGCCACACCATTCTCTGGCCTGTGGGAGTTGGCTGGTTTGTCAACCATGTGAACCGCGTCCTCTGTCAGCGGGGGAGGTGCACACAGGAGCACTTGGACGGGCTCGGGCCGTGGGCGAGGCCATGGTGCTGCAGGCAGTGGAGGGACAGAGAGCGCTGGTAGTGATGGCGAGGGACGGCGCATATGGGCTCTGCTCCCCCCTGGAGTCGACGAGGAAGCAGGACGTGCGTGTCCGTCCCGGGGGAGGTGACAGCTACAGCTGCGGGTGGTGCCTGGATCCCAACAATTCTGCTGGTCAGGTGGCCCCCGAACCTGTCTTCTTCCCACAGGGGGTCTGGGAGTACCCTGCTGGCTTGTTTTCCCCACCCAGTATCTTTTTTTTTTTCTTTTAAGATTTTATTTATTTCTTGGACAGACAGAGATCACAAGCAGGCAGAGAGGCAGAGAGAGAGAGAGGGAGAAGCAGGCTCCCCGCTGAGCAGAGAGCCCGATGTGGGGCTGGATCCCAGGACTCTGGGATCATTTACTGAGCCGAAGGCAGAGGCTTTAATCCACTGAGCCACCCAGACGCCCCTCCAGTATCTTTTTGGGCTGCCCCCATCGGCCGGAGTCAGCTGTTTCTGCTGCCCCCACTGCCAGCCTCCAGTGGGACAGTGGAGCTCAGAAAACAGACCCACGTGGCTCAGGCCACGAGGATATCATCTCCTATAAATGGAAGTCCGGAGGCACAGGGTGGTGGGGACCCAGGCAGGACACCATCACCGGCTCCATGGAGTTCTCAGAACTCTTCGTTCTCTCCTCCTTGTGGAGCTGCTCTTGGGGGACAGCTCTGACCTCGAGCTGGTGGCCTTGTGGTCACGAGACGGCTGCTGCTATACCAGCAGACAGCTGTGGGAGTCAGAAAGCCCTTGGCCGGACTGTCTGGGGCGATGCTGGGGATGCCAGTGGGGTCGGCCTCCGAGGGGCCACGGTGCAGCCCGACTCAGGAGCCCTGGCCTCCTTCTGCCCTCAGCACCTGCAGGGAAGGGTCTCCCACCCTCCTCGGTCTGTTTCAGTGTCACCTTCTCCAGGAGCCATCCCAGCCAAGGCCCACAGCATGCACAGGCCTCGGACAAACTGTCTGTTGTCTGTGTCATTACTGCCAGTCACATGCATGGAGCCCCAGATGCCCACTCAGCTCAGTACTGCTGATGGGATGGCGGGGACGGTGGGACCCACGTGAGAAGGGAGACAGATCTAACTGGGCGGCTTTAGAGGGAGCAACCTTGGGAGCTGAAGGACAGCAGGTCCCACCCTCTCCAGCACACATGTGCCTGGTGCCCGTTCTACCTTCCTGGGGACAGGGCTGGACAGGATCTGGCCCTGACCCTCCGGGCCCCATTTCCTCCTGCTTCACCAGCTGGACACACTGGAGCCTGGCCTCATTGGGGAGCTCTGTGATCTGTCACATCCCTGGAAATGGGCATGGTTTATGGGAAGATACTAGGGAGACTCTAGAGCCTGCCCTCTGCCCCCCATCCTGGCCATGGTTATCCCCAGTTCCATCCTTCCAGGAATCCCAGGCAGCGCCCAGAGAGCCTTGCCCCCCCCTCAGGGTTCCTAGGACACCACACACGTAAAAAGGTGGGCTGGGGGTGGGGGGACAGTGGGCCAGGTTCTCCTCTGTGCCCAGGAATGGACCCTAGGCCCCAGCTGGGGTCTTCCCCAACTTGGGCCCTGGCTTGGGGAAGAAGAGGGACCTCATTGTGCCTATCCAGGGACTTAGGGGTGAGTTATAAATAGAGGCTGGTGTAAGTCCTGGGTCGAGAGGGCAGCAGCAAGTAGATTACCTAATGATTAGCAGAGGCAGGGGATTTGCTGGCACAGAAGGGTCTGGCTCCTGGGGCTGATGTAGGAGCTTGGACAAGGACCTTCAGAGAACTGGACACAGCAGTCTGCAGCGTGCCCACATGGCCATGGCGACACTCCCTCCTACTCTCCGAAAAGCGCCTTCCAAATCTTAATTCCAAAGGGTTCTAGATGAGACTCCTTCTGCCTTCAGGGTTGCCCCAAGACCATGCTTTTCCCCATCTTTCTGCTCCCCACCCCCCACCCAGGGAGAGGCGTGAGGGGCTTCCCATATCCTCCCTGCAGGGGTCAACGTCTCAGCCAACCAGGACGAGGAGCTGCATCATGAGACCTTCCTGATGCAAATTGACCAGGAGACGAAGAAGTGCACCTTCTATTCCAGCACCGGGGGCTACTGGACCCTTGTCACCCACGGGGGCATCCACGCCACAGCCACACAGGTGTGAGTGCCCCATCCCCATCTCCACCACCATCACCATGACCATGATCACCACCACCACCACCACGCCTCCTCCACTGCCCCAATCACCACCATCTCCACGGCCTCCACGGCCTCCGCCACGAGGACCACTGAGGCGGCCCAGCTGAGAAAATACTCACTGGGCAAGGGGCAGCTCTTAACAGTGGTGGGTGTGTCCGTGGAAGGCAAGCGCCTGTCTCTCCCCCTGGGGGTTGGTACTGGACCTGAGGGGGATGGGAAAGCCTGACCCTGAGCTCCCGTCTTGCTGCTCTGAGGGGACTTTACCCTGACCTTCCCAGTTCTGCAAACACCATGTTTGAGGTGGAGTGGCGTGGCCGGCGGGTAGCCCTCAAGGCCAGTAATGGCCGCTATGTGTGCATGAAGAAGAACGGACAGCTGGCAGCCATCAGCGATTTTGTGGGTGAGCACTCCTCACCGGGCCCAGGGCCCCCTCACTGCTGAGCTGGTCCCTCCTCCCTGCCCAGGTGGCCCTTGGCGGTAGTAATCCTTGCTGGTCAAGATGATCACTCTGGACGTCAGGGAGAAATCAGAGCCCAGAGCCCCCTGATCTCCACTGCACGTTTGCGGAACCTGGGGCTTAGCGGTAACAGGCCTCTTGCCGAGGTCACACGAGTCATGGCAATGGCAGATGTGGGCCCACAAGTGTCCAGGCCAAGAATCTGGGCCCTTTCTGCCCTCAGACCCCACCCATCCTACCCACCCCGGGGAGGACGGCGGGCGGGCAGTGGCCCCTCAGCCCCTACTCCCCCCCCAGGTGAGGACGAGGAGTTCATTCTCAAGCTCATCAACCGGCCCATCCTCGTGCTGCGGGGCCTGGACGGCTTCGTCTGCCACCGCCGGGGCTCCAACCAGCTGGACACCAACCGCTCGGTCTACGACGTCTTCCACCTGAGCTTCAGCGACGGCGCCTACCAGATCCGAGGTGCGCGCGGGAGCGGGGGCCCGGCGGGGCGGGGGCGGGACAGGGGCCCCTGCGGGGCGGGGGCGGGGGCGGGGGAGGGCGCCTGGGCCCCCGCGCGCCCCGCCGACCCGGCCCCGCCCCCAGGCCGCGGCGGCGGGTTCTGGTACACCGGCAGCCACGGCAGCGTGCACAGCGACGGCGAGCGCCCCGAGGACTTCCTCTTCGAGTTCCGCGAGCGCGGCCGCCTGGCCATCCGCGCCCGGGGCGGCAAGTACCTGCGCGGGGGCGCCTCGGGACTGCTGCGCGCCGACGCGGACACGCCGGCCGGGGTCGCGCTCTGGGAGTACTGAGCGGGCGGCCCGACCCCCCCATTAAACCGTGTCTCGGACGCGGCTGGCGGGCTCCGTGGCGCCGCGAGGGGAGGGTCGTGCGCGGACGGCCCGCCCCGCCCCGCCCCCGCCCGGCCGCGCGCTCCGGCCGCGGCTGCTCCATCTCCCCACCCCGCGGCGCAGGAGACGCAGGGCGGGCGCGTGTGGCCCGGAGTGGGGTCCAGCGGGTGGGACACCCCCGCCCCCGCCCCGGCAGAGTTCTTTGGGGTGAGGATCCCCCCACGCGGATCCGGGTCTCAGGAAAAACCCAGCGCACGTGAGGTGAGAACGACCCCGCCCCTCCCAAACAGGGTGCGAGTGGCCAGCCCTGGGGAGAGGGCCCCTCTCAGCCCTGCACAGCCCCGACGGGGGCCCCCACGCCTCCCGCTCCCACCCCACCCGCCCCAGACAGGCCAGATGCCAAGACAAGGTCTCTGGTCCGGCAGCCAGCAGCCAGGCACTCCCCAGCCCCCAAGGACCCCCACCCAGGCCAATGCCTTTTGGATGGGTCGGGTGACCCGGTGGGAAACGCGGAACCTGGGGTTGGGAGGGGACCACACATGCGTGGCCCAGAGCCTGAAGGGAGGATGAGACCAGTTGCCCCGTCCCTGAGCCCAAGCCCCTCCCCGTCCCCAGGGCCTGAAAGCCCATCCGGAGAATCCAGCCAGTGTGGGCCGTGGGGACTGGGGCGCTTTGGGAAAGGTGTGCGAGGCAGGGGGTACAGCATGGATGTGCCTGACCAGAGTGGACAGGGAGGGATCCTGCCCCCACCCACAGCCTCTCCCCAGTGCCCGCCTCATCCCGGCCTGCACCGGACCTCACTGCCCTCGCCCAACCTTAAGAACAGAGGGGCTGGACCGACCCTAGCGGGCCCACTGGTCAAGAGGGGGCTGAGTTAACCCTCTGAGGACCAGACACCAGAGCCTCAAGGCAGCAGAGGAGCAGGTGGTTGCGCACCCCACAGCCTGTGCAGCCCCCTGGCGATGCCAGGGCAGGAGGACGGGGGGCTCCCCCGCCCAGTGCTTGCCCACAGTGATCACAGCGGGGGACTCCCTTGGTGTCCCCGACTTCCCTTTACTAGTCTCTGCCAGGAGTGCACTTGGCCTCAGACCCGTGCCGAGCGAAGCCCACGCGGCCTGGGGAGGGGAGACAGGGAAGAGTGTCCGGAGGGTACACCTGGGACAAGGAGGAGGCTGGGACTGCGTGGAGGCCATTCTCCGGCGCACCGGAGCTGTGTGGGGGACAGCGAGCCACACGCTGCAGGGACAGCCGAGGGACTCCCGTGCTCGGTGCGGTGGCCCGTCCCTGATGGGGCGTTGACAGGGCAGCCCAGCACGAGGCTCCTGGAGCGGCTCCAGCGGAGCTCTGTCCCGTGTCCCACTTGCCCTCGCCCCCGCCCATCTCTCCCGATTCACAAAGGTTTCACAGGATTCCTCTTTATCTCGCGTCCACGGGTTGGCTGCCCGGCTGGCGTGTCTCCTCTTCTGGAGACCAGATGGTGGGGCTCGAGTGACTGCTGCCTTGCCCGCGCCACCAGGGGCCTCCCGCCAGCAGGGAGGGGGAGCAGAGCGCCCTTTCCCACTACTGTGGCTGCATCCCTGGGAGGGTGCAGGCTCATGCCTCACCGGGGTCATCCTGGTCAGCAGCCTGGCAGAGGTGACAAGTGTGCCTCGGGCGTCACGTGGGAGCTGGACAGTGGGGACCAGGGGCAGGGGCAGCCCAGCCAAGCCCTGGCACTGGGGGACGTGCTTCCAGTGCTGCTCTGTTCACAGCCGACATCTGTGCCCACCACTGTCTCTAGTATGTGGTCTGTGGCCTCCCACTCTCCCTCCTTGGAGACGGCCTGTCCTCCCTGGGAGGGGGTCGCATGCCCTGCGGGCCGGGTGGACCCTTCACCCAGTGCCGGGGGACTCTCCCTGGCCCCCACGACCATGGAAAAGACCAAGGCAGGGTTCATCCGAGCGCACCCCAGGGGAGGCCCAGAAATGCAGTCAGAGCTGCTGCCCCAAAACACACACACACACAGTGACGAGGCAGCTCAATGGGGAGCAGACTTCTCCTGCAGCAAGGGGGGCCTCGCAGCCCCTGCACGTACAGGAGAGCACCATGTTAAGTCCAAACGGGGGGGTCACCCCCCCACTGGTGGACGCACCAGCACTGGAGTGCCACTGAGTGGCTGCCCAGGCCAAGGGGCCCTGGAGACAAGGCACAGTGCTGGGCACGGCTCCAGCCATAAGCACCTACTGGGTGAGTGTCGGAGCCACAGGAAAGCAGTCCCAGCTGGTGGCCTCAGCAGTGGCCCATAAAGGAAGGGCCCCGAGAGGGATGAGAGGTCTGTACTTGGGGGAGTGGGCAGTGGGGACGGCAACAGCCATGACCAGAAGCCCCTAAGTCCCAAATCTGGAAACTTTCTCCGGGGACCCTGTCGGCTGCTCTGGGGCCTGGACCCTGGGTTGGGGGGACGGACGTCGTGGATCCAGCTCCAGGGCTCCAGGCCAGGGACTGCCAGGCACGACCAGGTTCAGCAGGAGCGGTGGGCAGCTACTGAAGGGGAAGGAACGCTGTGCAGAGGCTGGGGCCGGGGTGGGCTGGGGGGCTACGAGCGCCGCTTCACGCACGCCCCAGAGCAGTCGTGGGCCCCGTGTCCCTAGCAGTGCCCAGCCCACCTGCCTCCCCCAGCCTCACGGCCAGGGTCAGGAGCCGGGAAGCAGCCCCTCGTGTCCTGAGCTTCTCTCCATAAAGCCACAAGGGTGCTGGGCTTGTGGCACGGGCCCACCTGGGGTCACACCAGGAGGAGGCTGGGGCTGCGCAGCTGCCTGTGCACCTGCAGGAGCCTCTGGGCGGTGGCGTGGGAGCTGGCTTCGTCCTCCGTGCACAGCCGGTCCCGCAGGGTCTGCACCTCCCGCAGCAGGGTCTGCTGGTGGGGGCAGCAAGCTCAGACCCCCCACCTCGCCACTGGGCACAGCCCCTCTGGGGGACAGCGGTTATGCACAAGCCCTACTCGGTATGTGGCAGGTGACCCAGGAGTGCAGAGGAAGCACAGCCAAGCCCCTCCCCAGGTGACAGGAAGGTCCTATTGAAGGCGGATGGGCGAGGGAGCAAGGCTGGAGACAAGGAGCCACACCCACCCTGCATTCCCCACCGTCCTTGGCTGAGCATGGGGCAGGCCCCCCACTGTGCTGGGTGAGCCCTGTGTTCCCAGAGGATCCCGGCCAGGGACGGTGTGAGGCCGGGGGGTTGGGAGCCAGAGGGGCCTCACCTCGTGGCTGCTGTGGGTCTGCTGGAGATACTGTACACGGAGGTCGGGCGGGCCAGGGATCCGGGCAGCTTGCTCCACAACCATCCTCTGGGGGCAGGGGACAGGGAGGCTGGGGCCGGTGCCCAGGGCTCCAGGCACCTGTCCTCCACCATGCCACCACCTCCAAAAGCCCCTCTGTGTCTTCCACTCCAGCCCCAGCTTGATGATGGAAGACTCGGGAGTCTTTCTCCTAAGTTCCTGTCACCCCCTCCCACCTCTTCCCTCATCCCCACGAGCTGCCTCCCACCACCCTGTCTCCCATCCTTCATCCCAGGCCTGGTGCCCCCTGCCCTCATGGGGGCCACCCAACCTGCCCCATCAGCACAGCCCCTCAGCACGGCCCCCTGTGGGGCTGCTGCTTGTCCTGCGTTCTGGGGGAAGCCCAGGATTAGGCAGCGAGGCCCCCACCAGCCTCTGTGGCAGGCACTGCACACCTGGCAGGGCCCCCCAAACTCTGAGTGGCCAGAACACACACAGGTTCCCATGGGCAGTCCCGTCACGGGGAGCAGGGCGTCAGCTGACAGGACCGGGATCCGCAGCCCGCGTGAGGGTGCCTGTCAAGGGACCACCTGCAGCTCTCCGTTTGGGGGGATACACGCGGGAGCACTGCCCCAGCAGCTGAGAGACTACTTGGACGTGGGGCCTTTACAGATGAGCTCATGTGGGGGGGACCCAGGTCTAGTAATAAGTGATCAGAACACAGGAGCCTCTGGGTGGTGGCGTGGGGACAGCTGCGCGTGAGTGCGGGAGAGAGGCCTCGGCCGCGGGCACTGGATTCCTGCTGCTTGGGTCTGGTCTGTGGCTGTCATGGCCACACCAGGACACTCTTCCCCCAGCATCACGCTAACCATGTGGCCCCTGACCGTCGTGCTCGGCCGGGTCTGTTAACAGCCTGATGGGAAGACTTCGGTCTAAGAGGCTCCCCTCTGAGCAAAGGGAACGGGAACCACTCTGGGGGCTGGGTGTCCCTGCTGGGCACCTGGCACTACATTCCTGAGCTGCGTGAGCCTCAGTGGGCCCATCAGAGTGCCACACAGGGGCAGTGGCGGGGGCCACAGGCTCCTGAGTAATGCCCGTAGGACGCAGCGGCACTCAGGTCCTCGTCAAGCCTAGACTGCGGCTTCTCCAGTTCTCAGGGTGCGGGGTGGGGCTGGGGAAGGTGCACTGGTGAGTTCCCAGCTGGGGGGACAGCTGCCATGGCAGACTCCTCTGGGGCCGCCAAAGCCGCAGTCAGAGGGGTGGGAGGAGACGGCCAGCTGGCCCCAGAGCCTGGGCTCGACCGAGCCAAGGGACCAGGTGCCAGACTGCATTTGGACCGTGAGCACCTTCTCAGATCTGGGACTTACGGCCCCCAGAAGGCAGTGCAGCCGCTGGCTCCCACACTAGACGGGGCCCCTTGTGGTGTCTGCGAGGGTGGAGACGTGGTGGCTCAGAGTGCAGGCGGCACAGCGCAGGACCCACGCCCGGCACACGCAGCCCCGGCACACGCAGCCCCCGGGCCCACGCCAGCACACGCGGCCCCGGCACACGCAGCCCCCGGGCCCACGCCAGCACACGCGGCCCCGGCACACGCAGCCCCCGGGCCCACGCCAGCACACGCAGCCCCGGCACACGCAGCCCCGGCACACGCAGCCCCCGGGCCCACGCCCGGCACACGCAGCCCCGGCACACGCTCTCTCCGCAC